ATAAGGCTACCGGAGTCAACTATTCTGTAATATCTGGGACACCGCGACTATTCTGGTCGACTTGAAGCAGGGCGTCTTAGTGAAGGTTCTTAAGAAGGGGGATCTTACTGTGTGTGACAACTGGGGAGGTATCATGTTACTGTGTATTGTTCGCAAAGTTCTGTGTAAAGTTATCCTGAATCGGATGCAGGAGAAGATCGACGTGACTCTCCGGTGGCAGCAGGCAGGATTCCGCGCAGGAAGATCTTGGTGGACCGTATTGTCACGCTTCGCAACATCAATGCTAATAATCACAAAAATAAACAAATGCTTCTGCTTTGTTTTCTGTTTGCTGATGACGGATGAAAACTGATAAAGAGAAGCGACACGAGAGCAGCGTTGCCAGATTGTTTTAAAGCTTATCGGTATCAAAGGTATTGAAAAATCGGTATTTATCGGTATTTACTATTTAATTAATTTTATATTTTTGCCGTTCTTGACGATGATGACGAAAATTTTGACGATGGTGACGACTGGGACTTGAGGGGAATTACTTTGTTAAACGGCTTTCTCAGTCTTAAAACAGTCTTTATTTTTTTAAATTTAATTTTTTTTTAATTATCATTGTCCTCAAATGGTGATCAAAATTGTGAGAAAGTAGTTTTTTCAATTAAAGCATATGGATATATATGGAAAATCAGCCACATCAGCCATATCAACGACTACACTATTGACAATAATGACAAACAATATTTTCACTTGCAAAAGGCCACAATCCATGGCAGAAATGTCGAGCAGATTACATCGTAGTCGTTGCAGTTTTTTAAAACTGAGAAAGCCGTTAATCATAGCAAAATTTTAGGTTTTGTACAAAGATCGGAAAATTCTGGAAGAAAACTCCGAGAATGTTTGAATTAGCTTCTGAACGAAGCTGAAAAAATATCCAGAGAAAGACGACAATAGCTCTCCTGGATGAAGTTAGAGAAGAGTTCTAAGAAAAGTTGGAAACTTCCAAGATAAGAATTGAGAAACTTGTGGCGAAAATTTAAATAACCTATCGAAAAAAAAAAACGTATGTCACATCTAAACGAAGCCAGAAAAGTTTCGGAAACCGGAAGTCAATTTTCAGAAGCAGCCATTTCCAGGGAAACCCAGAAGAAGCTCGGAAAAACCTTCCAATAGAAGTCGAACAAAAAACCTTTGGCTTATGGTCAAACTTCCAGAAGAAGACGAATTAATTTCTGGGAGAATCAATTGAACTTCCTGGAGAAGACGAAAGAAACTTCCTAAGGTAGATTGGAAGAAACATCTGAAGAAAGTAGGAAACCAGAGCACTTACGAAACAAGGACATAGTTCCGGAAGAAAGAGATTCCTGAGGATGTTCTAATGATCCAGAAAATTTTCCTAATATTCATAAAACATCCCTAAAGACTCCACAATTTCCCTCAAGTTTTTTGAATATTTCTGAAATGCACTAAGGAATATTCCATAATTCCTCGAAATTCCTTAAAAGTTCTTATAATTTTCCTGAAATTAGGGGCTGTTTAGGAATTCTCTGGTCATCCTCGAAGTGCTCGGAACTTTCCTGATTATAATAAGACTAACGGAATATTTCTATTTATCTTTGAAGTTCTCTGGACTTTCTTGAAGATTATGAAATCTCTTAAGTGCTCTCACAATTTTCTTAATTTTATTGTAAAATCAGCATTGAAGTTCTCTTATCATCCCGATTTTATTAATTTCTAAAATATTGACACTGCCATTAAAAAGCATAGAACTTCCCATAAAATGTCCACACAATGTTCTAATGTTCATGTAACTTCCCTTACGTTTCCTAAATGTGCATGAGCCCCTCAGGACATTGCTGAAGTTTTCGGAAATTGCCTGAGTTTCTCGGAACTCCTTTATAATTTCAGCAATTTCATTGAAATTTATTGATTTGTCCTGATGTTCTCTGAGCTTCACTAAAGATCCTGAAAATTCCAACAAGTCAATTACAATAGAAGATTTTTCACTGATGGATCACGCATTGATGAATCCACTGGCTTCGGCGTCTTCAATGAATACTCAACCGCCTTTCGGAAACTTCAGGAACCTTGTTCCGTTTATGTTGCTGAGCTAGCAGCAATCAACTTCGCATTGGGGATGATTTCCGATATGCCCATAGACCATTACTTCATCTTCTCGGATAGTCTCAGTTCGATTGAGGCTATTCGGTTGATGAAACAAGGTAGGCACTCATCTTATTTCCTTTCAAAGGTAAGGGAGCAGATGAGTTTGCTGATCGAAAGATCATATATGATTACCTTTGTATGGGTCCCCTCACATTGCTCAATCCCAGGCAATGAGAAGGCAGACTCTCGCAAAGGTGGGCGCACAACAAGGCGAGATTTATGATAGAAGAATCTCACATGATGAATTTTTCCCATTAGTACGTCAGAGTTCTTTTTTAAGTTGGCAAAACGATTGGACATGTTATTCTCTTGGGCGGTGGTTACATTCCATTATTCCAAATGTTTCTTCGAGAGCGTGGTTCAAAGGTCTGGATGTAAGTCGGTGATTCATTCGAGTGATGTCAAAACTTATGTCCAACCACTACTCGCTAGACGCACATCTCTATAGAATAAACCTCGTTGACAGCAATATATGTAGGTGCAGAACCGGTTATGATGACATCGATCACGCAGTTTGGTATTGTCCGGGTAATGACGACTCCAGAGCACGACTATTGGATACCCTAGTGGCCCAAGGTAGACAACCCTTCCATGAAGTAAGAGATATATTGGGAACACATGATCTTCCCTACATGCAAGCGATCTACGAATTCCTTTGTTTGTCTTATGTTAGAGTTTGATGTGACCATCCCCTCAATTCCAAACAATTTCCAGCCATTGTGTCCCAGTCTTATTATCCCCCTGTTACTGTGCTACTTGCCCCTGCCCAGCCAGGATTTAGTCAACCGTCCGAGAGTAGTATCTGAAGGAGGCTTCAGAAACCAGTTTCCTACCTAGCTCCTTCCAATCGAAATTGTTACCCATTAACCTCGAGCCCGCCACGAGTAATTGGTACCGAATACTAACCTAGAACTACTGCTATTTAAGAAGTAAATTCAAACATTACTGAGTTTGGCTCCGCAAAGTGTCACACACGACTGAGCTTAGTAAATAAACGAAATATTTAAAAAAAAAGTTCCTGAAAACCATTAAATTTACCACGAGAAGGTGAAAGAATCATTCGAGCTAAGGCTGAAGAAGCTTGCAAGGTAATGTGGAAGAAAATTGCAGGGAAAGTTGGATGAAACTTCAGGAAATTTAAAAATGAACAAAATCTTCCGGAAGTTAAATAATGTTTAAAAAATATTTCTCGATTCCCTAGGAATTACCGGAAAGAGTAATCGACTATTTCTCGATTGATTGGTAGCCAAAATCGGTGAGAAAATGCAAACATTAGTGGAAAGAGTATCAAACATAAAGGCATCTTAAGAGATGATTGTTTAGAGCTTTGAAGGCCAAAAAAATATGAGGTATTCAAAAAGATACAAGTCTCTAACAAAAAATTTCTCCGAAATTCGAGCGCGGGTAGGCAATAATAATTTTGATTATTTAAAAAAAAACGGTATAAATCGGTATAAAATCTTAAAAATCGGTATTCTGAGGAACCTTATCTGTATATCGGTATATAGTTTGGAAATCGGTATATCTGGCAACGCTGCACGAGAGTCAAGCGCCATTATGACTAGTTTCAATGAGTGCAGATATAAATTTACACGATGATGTAAATTCACATTTTTAAGAATTGAAATATATGTGTACTTGCGTGATCGCCTAATTAAGAATTCGTTTACACGCAAAAAGGTATTAATTTATAAAATAAGTAATTTTGCTTCTTAGTTGTTTATATTTGAAACCATGCCAAGCAAATCGAGCAAATAGACACGCTAACAATTTACTTTGCATTTGAGAAACACTTCCGAGTATTCTAACATTGAAAACATACCTTATGCAACAGTTTACAGCTACTTTATGTATATTACATTGATTACTATGTGACATTGGTGCACCAGAGGCTCATTCCTGGATCCAAATTTTGTGACAAATCTGGCGTCTGGCAAATTCATATGCATTTCAATTTAGCAAAATTCCGTGGAATCAAAAAAATTACAGCGATGTTACAAAATCATTCCGCCTAAACCTTACAATGAAACGCATACCCCTACTTCGAACAGTCTATGCCGCTGCCTTGTTATGACAAAGATGTGAAGACCAAGGTATGTGACCTGTTTTCAGTCTGCACTTCTTCAAATGAGTGAAAACAAACTTACAGCATGCAAATCAACAAGTAATTCCTGTATCTGCTTCAACCGGTATTCGTTCATATCTTCTCAGCGTAGTTTGCTTCAAAGATGCATCGACTTGCACGCACGACAATAAATAGTCCCAATGCCCCCAACGAGCAGATATGTCTTAATTTTGAAAACATTTGAAATTATGTGAAGAAGTGTTTCAGATTTTCAGAATAATACTGAATAAACCTTTTTATTTTCCAAGACTTTGCAAAATATTCCAAACAATTTGGAAAATCAGACAAAGGTCCCAAATCATACCTTGCCCCAAATGGCACACATCTACGTTCCTCCCTTTTTTTTTCCTTATCAAACACTCGAATCTGATTACCCCACTGACATCGAATGCCTTTACCACGCTACTTACAAGACACCTTTCTTTTCCTATAAAGCGACCTGAGCAGTCTGGGACTATTCGACGAGTCGCTCCCCCGACCGGCCTCTGCCGTGCCGTGCTCCACTAAAAACAACCGTTCAGCTCCGAAGAAAGTAAGTGAAGTAACTGTTGTTCATAATCGGTCGCGTGTCATATTTTTATACGACCGAGCTTCCTGTGAATGTCGTCCGTCCGTCCGTCCACCCAAGAAAACACCCAAAGCCACGCACAAGAAACCAGAAAAGTGGGTTTGCAAAATCAGCTACTGGGAAAATATTAGCATCTACAAACAAATCACTCACTTTGGGTACTATCAATTTGAACAATGTATGGGGATTTCGTCGGTCTGCTTTCACTTTGTTGATTAGCAGCCTCTTCGCATCCTCTTATCAAGCTGGTTCAATAACAATTCACATTCGCCGTTCACCGTGTGGACACTTATCACCGATGTCGTGATCCTTGGGAATAACCAATCTGCCAAATTATAACAACACTTCTACCGGGGATCATTCGTAGTCTTGTGACTGGGAAATTTTTCTTCTTCTTCGTCCTCTACCTTATCGGACCCGGAATCGTCACACTTGTCACGCGTGCCGTGGTTACATTCACCAAACGGTTACAATTTATTCGCACACCTTCACCTGCCCACTTCAGCTCCAAAACCAAACACAAGCACTATACTGACTGAGCTGACTGCAGAAGAGAAATCGCGTCCGAACGATCCGACCGATCGTTACCAACTGAGCGAAGCTCCCTTTTGATGTTAAATTTTTATATAGCATCACATGCATTCTGGCACCGACGACGATGCACGCAAAAGCTCTTCTCCAATTCCAGTCCCCCCTGAATGGCATCGCGGTGGAGCACGTGGTGGCGGCGGTGGTGGTGCAGGTGTGTGTTTGTGTGTGTATGGATTAGTGGAGACAACAACAGAGACGCTGCCTTCGGCGAGATTCGGGATGGAAACAGACATCAGATTCGTGCTGGGGTACTCCGGATGCTGGACGATTAGGGTAAGCGAATTTTTCACAGTATGCTGAAGGTGTTAGTGAAAATTATGTAAAATTTCAGAGTCCGTAGTTCGTACATATACGACAGAGTTTGAAAAAAGAATATAGTTTGAGAGGTGTAGGGCCGTTAGGCCGAATGGGTAATTACACACTTAAGGTGATACTCTAAGGAAGCCTTAGCGTGAAACTTCAAAGCACAAATGTCAGCTTCCACAAAACATACAAATTTGAAATTGCTACTCTATGTTTTTAGTAGCACAGCAAACAAGGAGTAGCAATTTCAAATTTGTATGTTTTGTGGAAGCTGACATTTGTGCCTTTAAAGTTTCACGCTAAGGCTTCCTTAGAGTATCATCCTAATCTAGCTCGGTAAAATCTCCAAAAGACTGACCAAAAGCATTTTCCCATCCAGGTATTACATTTCTGATGAAATGTACTACTTTACTGGGACCTGCATCCCAAATATCAAAGGGTTCTGCCAGTCCCTTATCCAGAAAAATACGCCTTTTATTGAAGATTGCTGCACAAGAGCATAGCAGGTGTTCAGAGTCTTCCTTTTCTATACCACAGAATCGACACATATCCTCTTGAAGTTTTCCTATTAGCTTCAAATGATATTTACATGGACAATGTCCTGTTATCAAACCAGTATAGACACTGAGATCTTTCTTTGATAATTCAAGAATTTTGCTAGTCATTGAAATGTTCGGAATTATGAACCGTTTCGACTGCCTAGCAATGGAAGTGTTGTTCCAATTGGTCTCCACTTTCATTTTTTTTTCCATTTCTTGATCTCCATTTTAAGAGAACAAGTAGAAACTCCACAGAATGGTTCTGGTCCTATGAATTGCTGAGATGATCCTAGCCAGTCTAACGTATCGGCTTTTTCATTCCCTTCAATTCCAAAGTGGCCAGGAACCCAATATAAGTTTACTTGGTTTTGACAGGCCAATTTCTGAAGTGACATTGCACATTCCCATACGAGTTTGGAATTGCATGTTGCTGATTTTAAAGCATTTAATGCTGCTTGACTTTCAGACATAATGCGGATATTCGAATGTTTATAATTCCTGCGCAAGCATATTACAGAGCATTCAAGAATTGCTTGAATTTCTGCTTGGAACACGGTTGGCCAGTAACCCATGGATATTGAGATATCAATCCCTGGACCAGTTACCCCTGCTCCCACACGGTTGTTCAATCTTGAACCGTCTGTATAAAAAACAATTGAACCTGGACGGATGTTTGGTCCCCCACTTTCCCAAACATTACGATCAAATTCTGCTGCATTGTATAAACGATCGAAATTATATTTTTTCTCCATCCAGTCTTCATTTTTTAATACAAGAGAATCAATATCAATGCTAAGGTGTCCTGTAAGATCACCTTCAAGGAAGTACTTTGTTCGTTGAATCCTTAAAGCGCTCCTTTCAGCTTCTAATTGGATAAATTGATGCAACGAAATCAGATAAAGTAGAGCATCTAGTGAAATACTCGGTGTGCTGTTCATTGCACCAATTATTGAGAGAGTAGCTAGTCTTTGCAGTCTCCCCAGCTTCTTCTGAGCCGTTTTTTCATTAGTTTTCGGCCACCAAACTAATGATGCGTAGGATATTCTGGGTCTTACAATCGTCAAATAAATCCAGTGGATCATTTCCTACCACATGTTTTTTTACTTATCCAAAGAGTATTTATTGCCTTATTAACAACCTGTTCTATATGTGAATTCCAGTTAAGTTTACTGTCAAGAATGACTCCCAGATACTTAAAAGTTCGTGAAAGTTCTAAAGAGGATTCTTTCAATTTTAAGTTATTTATAGAAAATTTCCTTTTCCGTGTGAACGGTACAATAGTGGTCTTAGAAGCGTTTATATTCAACCCTTCTTTAGCGCACCACGACGAAACATAATTTAACGCAGTTTGCATTCTATTTGAAATGATATTATCAAATTTTCCTCGTACTATTATGACTATATCATCAGCAAAGCCAATTATCTCGAAGCCCTTTGCTTCTAAGTTTTTGAGAAGTTCGTCAACAATTAAGGACCATAAAAGAGGTGAAAGCACACCTCCTTGAGGACACCCTTTTACAGCTCTAACTGTTATGGATGAGCTTCGAAAATTTGCTGAGATTTCTCTTAAGCATCTCATTAATCCACTTAACGATGCTTTTGTCGAATCCACGCTTCAACATATTGTTTTTCATGGAGTTATAAGATTCATTATCAAATACTCCTTCAATATCAATGAATGCTGCTAGTGACATTTCTTTTGATTCAAAAGATTTTTCTAGTTTTCTAACAAGCGTGTGAAGAGCTGTTACTGTTGATTTACCAGCTTGATATGCAAACTGATATTTACTCAAAGGAATTGTAATCAAGTACGTTGATTTTATATGCTTATCTATTATTTTCTTCATTATTTTTGGCATAATGGATGATAAACTGATCGGTCTGAAGGATTTAGAAGAAGTTTTATCCTTTTTATTAGCCTTCGGAATAAATATAACCTTTACTTGACGCCAAGTTATCGGAATATAACTTAATCTTAAGCTTGCTCTAAACAAGCCTGTTAGAATGGGTGTCAAAGTTTCGTTTCCTTTGAAATAGTACTGGAAAAATTTCGTCCCTACCTGGTGATTTGAAAGGAGCAAAAGAATCAATCGCCCATTCGACTCGTTTTTCTGTAAAATTTCTATTGGCCAGATTACGAGCGTCTTTCCTGGCGATCTCTAACCCAGTCGATTCATTCATTGGTGTCTGAACTTCTGTCCTGATTTTTCCAGAGCCAGTTTGCGCTGCACGTGTATTTTGGTCTTCATTTATGTTGGTAATTGAACATGGAAAGTGTGTTTTCATCATTGTTTCTAATGTTTCTTCCACAGACTTAGTAAAAGTGCCGTCTTCATTTTTAAGAGTTCCTAAGCCATTTGAATGATCTTTTGAAAGGACTTTTTGCAATCTGGCAGCAACTGGAGTATTTTCAATGTTTTCACATGTATGCCTCCAGTCCTTCCTCGGATTTCCTTATTATAACATGTGAGGGCTTCCCTGTATTAATCCCATTGTCTTGTTATTTTCGCCCGGTTAAATAGCTTCCGGGGTTTCTTCCGAAGTTTCTCTAAGGTTTTATTCCACCAAGGTACATCCCGATTCGTAGAGCGTTCCTTTGCAGGACAGCTGTCGTAATAAACTTGTTGGATTAAGCTTGAAAGCTGATGAGAATTTTTCTCAAGTTCATTGCATGTTTTTGAACATCCTCTCAAGTTATTGACTCCAGCTATAAGCTTTGAGTTGTATTGCTCCCAGTTAATTTTCCTGGGATCTCTTATAGTTTCAATGATTTCTTGATTAACTTCATCCCCCTTATTACATATATCTATTTCATGTTTTGAGATAAAGTCTAAAAAGCACTCACCTCTGCTGTTGATGTCTGAACTGGACCACACTGTATGATGGGCATTTGCGTCACATCCAACTATGAATGCTTTATTTTGTTTCTTGCAGTAAAGGGTGATACGGTCAAAATTTGGTCAATATCAACTTGACGTATTTCTTTCAATTTTGCATTTAAAAAACCTGAACACCCCTCATTTTGAAGGTGTGTGTGTGTAGAATGTTGCTCCTATTTTGATTTTGGAATTCACTCTTCAGTTGTCAAAATGCCGTCCAAGCAAGAAGAGCAGCGTATCAAAATTTTGCTCGCGCATCGCGAAAATCCGAGCTACTCGCACGCAAAGCTGGCAAAATCGCTAAAAGTTGCCAAATCAACCGTTACAAATGTAATTAAAGTGTTTGGGGAACGTTTTTCGACAGCCAGGAAGTCTGGATCGGGGGGAAATCGAAAACTGGAAGCCGCTGAGACGACAAAGAGAGTTGCCGGTAGTTTCAAGCGAAACCCTAACCTCTCTCTCCGAGATGCCGCAAATAAGCTGGGTGTATCGTCTACAACCGTGCATCGAGCCAAAAAACGAGCCGGACTATCGACTTACAAGAAGGTAGTGACTCCAAATCGCGATGATAAACAAAATACGACGGCCAAAGCGCGATCCCGGAGGCTGTACATGACGATGCTGACGAAGTTTGACTGCGTGGTAATGGACGACGAAACCTACGTCAAAGCCGACTACAAGCAGCTTCCGGGACAGGAGTTTTATACGGCAAAAGGAAGGGGAAAGGTAGCAGATGTTTTCAAGCACATGAAACTGTCAAAGTTCGCAAAGAAATATCTGGTTTGGCAAGCCATCTGTACCTGTGGCTTGAAAAGCAGCATTTTCATAGCTTCCGGGACTGTCAACCAAGAAATTTACGTGAAAGAGTGTTTGAATAAACGTCTGCTGCCTTTCCTGAAGAAACACGGTTGTTCCGTACTGTTTTGGCCGGATTTGGCATCTTGCCATTACGGTAAAAAGGCCATGGAGTGGTACGCCGCCAACAACGTGCAGGTGGTTCCCAAGGACAAGAACCCTCCCAACACGCCAGAGCTCCGCCCAATTGAGAAATACTGGGCTATTGTCAAGCGGAACCTAAAGAAGACCAAAAAAACTGCTAAGGGCGAGCAGCAGTTCAAGGCAAACTGGCTTTCTGCGGCGAAGAAGGTGGACAAGGTGGCTGTACAAAATCTGATGGCAGGGGTCAAGCGTAAGGCCCGGCAATTCGGATTTGGAAAAGCGGAAGCCTAACTGAATATTTTTCCTGAAT